TTACGCCGCCTCTCTCTCCACCGTCAACCTGGACAGAGGTGCGCCCCCCGTGCTTCTGTCACCGACCGAATGTCAAGCTTCAAGCCTTGGCCCGTGGGGGGCAGCGGCAGGGGGCTCGGTGAGCGTAGACCGTCGCTAACCACACACCCGTTGCGTGTGGCACCGAACCCCCGAGTGTCCGTCAGTCCGCGCGGCCGCCAGCCAGGTGCTCATGCGGCTGCACGCCGCAGCCCTCGCCTGCCGCCAGCCTTTCTTGCTGTTGCCTTGCAGATAAGGTTTGGAGTCGTCGGGAGGGATGAGAGCGCAGTCCTCTTCAGCTCAGACAGTTGGCAGTGGTGCCACTAGGTCCGTTGGTAGACGAGACCTAGTCGGACGGATCAAATGAGACTGCAGCGAGTCAGACGCAGCCGCCCTCTCTCCCCATCTTGCCCTCCCTCTCCAATGCTGTGATCAGAGAGATCGAGCCCTGGCGGACAGGGAAAGTTGGGAACACCGTGGCAGGACCGCCCCTCTGTTGTTCTGTACGCTCTCTCCTGACCACGGTTGAAAATCAGCCAAGCTGGCGTTTAATGACTAGTGGAGGTTGGTGGGTTGTTTAAGGATGATTTGGAGGTGGGACTTGCACTCGGCGTTAAGCCCGAACTGTGTGCTGAGATGTACCTTGCCTTCGGTGCGAGATTCGAGTTTCAGTACGGACACAGGAGCTGTCTGTGCCAAATGCCTCCAGTCGACAGTGGCCGCGCCTTGCCAGTGCCACATTGCTGCCTCGCATCCAGTCGCTGGCGCAGTTAATACTATGGGACTGGGTGGGTTTGTGCATTTCATGGGTGGTGGGATGGAGGTACTGTACTGTACTTGTTCACTTGGTGCCCGTGCAGCCTTTTAAGTCTGCTAGCTGCAGCGCCGCTCTTTCTCTGACCGTCACCAGGCGAATCAGATGCGCAATCTAAAATCTCCTCCTCCTCCTCTTCCGCCTCCTCCTCCTCCTCCTCCTCCTCCTCCTCCTCCTCCTCCTCCTCCTCCCCCTCCTCCTCCTCCTCCGCCTCCTGAAAGGGTCAGGACCCGCTTGCCATGAAACATCGCAGAGGCTTCTCGTCCCCACAGCTGGAGGCGGCCAGAACAGACCTCCATGAGGGGCTCAGCGGACAGTTTGAAGCGGATTTGGGGCCCAGGCTGGACATGCACAGATAGAAACTGGCCAGACGGGACCTGGGGAATGGTTCTGAGTAGGAAGACTCTGCGCCAGGGCGCCCTTTCTGGCGGGCGAGCCAACTCTGGAAGCTGCACGTCCTCGGATGTCGAGTGCTGAGGTTCTGCTCCGTTTGGAGATAACCATGTTCTCCTGGCCGCCGCAGGCCTCTGCGGACCTCTGGAGGGTGCGGATCTCCACAGAGCTCCGGAGAGCTCTGGAAGCATCCGAGAACCTCTGGAGACGTCTGGAGGAGCAAGCCTCAGAGAAAGAGGGTGAGGCAAAGTCAAAGGAAAAGGCTGAGAAAGAGGAGGAGGAGGAGTCCACGTACAGTGGGGGGCGAGCCGTGCAGCCACTCGAGGAGGAGGAGGAGGAGGAGGAGGAGGAGGAATATGTGTATGGCAACGTGGGAACAAGGATAACGAGTATGTCAGCGGAGCAACCATCGCTGGCTGTCGCCCTTCAGCACCGAGGGCTAACTCAAGTGATTCAGCAGAGGCCCGGCGCAAAGATAAGCGCGGACACGGCTCCCTCTTTACACGGCCGTCCCAGCGGGCGCCACATACTCCCAGCCAGCCATGTAACCATTCGACTTACGGGGCTTGCAGCCGAAACTCGCTGGGATAGCACGCAAAGTCGCACAGACAAGCGTGATAACAAAATGTAGGCCCCGCCGCATCAAACGAGGGCGTCCAGCCCGGAAATCGCACGGCCACACAGCCCTCCGACGACTCGGCGCCGCCGAACCGCTGGACCCTGGACCCCGCGACACCATTCTCGTGGCCGGCCGGCTTCTCATCCTGAACCGCTGTTTGGCGGCGAGGCGGCCCAGAAACAGCCCCCGGATGCAGGGAATTGTGATACACCTATGGCGCGGAAGTCCCCCAGGCACGCAGCAGCAGCCGCAGCACCCTTGCGGGCGTGGGCGCGGCTGGACGCACCGGTCACGCGCCGTGCGCTGTGCCGGTGGTGAGCTCCCGCGGCCGTGGCCATGGAGGGGGACGACGAGGAGAACGAGGACTTGTTCTACGCTTGCTCATGCTTGGGAATTTTCGGTTGGTCACAGTGATTATTTTCGGTGCCTTGTAGGTCTTCCCTCTTTCACTGGCTGGAGTTCGCGTTTTGTTGTTTGCCCGAGTTTTGCAGTGCTCACTGTCTTCGCGCAAAAGTTGAGCCAGTGCAGGAAGCTTGCGATCCAAGGATGCGCAAACCGCCGTCCTGGATACCGCAAAAAACCCTTGCGTCAGCCTCGGCCCACTTTTCGATCCCTCCCCTGGAGCTCGCACTATGACCTGTAAGCCTCGCGCGAAAATGATATCCCAGCTACTACGCAAGTCCGAAACATCATTCCCCGCCTTCTCCTCGCGTTCGCACGGGTGCTCCCATCACGTTTGTTGCGTATTGTCTTGTATTGTTCTCCCCGTCGGTCTTGTCACCCCTCCCTGCCCCTGTTGTTGCTCCCCCGCCGTCAAGCTCAGAGGATATCAAACTCCTCGCAGTATGGTTTCGCACGCCGCCAAGCTTGGACGCGTCGGCCACTGGCACTGTCGCTGTTGCCCGAATCGGCGGCCCTGACCAAGGGATAGTGGCGGCAGTGGCAAAAACCGAAACGCGCCCAGAACCCAGCAAGCCACGAGGGTGCAAGCCCGACTTGTCTGGCTGATACTCCTGGGGGGGCCCGTGCTCAGAGGAGACTGCAGCACCGCTCAACAATGTGCTGTGAAACAAACTGCAGGGTAGGCCTTTTCCATTTTTCTGTGCATCCCAACTTTGGCTCCGGCTTCAGCCGCGAATGCACCGCGAAGCGCCTATGGACCAGCTCACCCCAATCGGCTTTCCACTCGCACGGGTGCTCCTCTCACGCCTGGTGTTGTGTCTTGTCTTGCCTTGCTCTCCCCGTCGGCCTTGTGTCCCCTCCCTGCCGCTGATGCTGCTCCTCCCGTCCGGCTCAGAGGATTTACCGAACTCCTCGCAATCTGGCTTTGCACGCCGCCAGGCTTGGATTCAGGTCGGGCATGTCCCCCTACCAGGGGGGATGTTGAACGAGAGGGTACAAAACCATCAGACATCGTTCCCAGATGATTTTTGGACATCTCTCCCAAGGAGGGCAAGGGAGCCCAGAATCGAATCGATAAGTCGGATCGGCGATCGAAAAGAATCGGATCGGCAGAAATCGGCAGCCGAGTCGGGAAAAGTCGAATCGGCGGAAATCGGCAGGCTAGTAGGCCTTCGTTGAGAAATCGGAGCCCAAATCGGAATCCAAAGTCGAATCGAATCGGAATCGGAAACCATCGAAATCGAATCGGATCGAATCGGAGGAATCGAAACGAGCCCTGGGAGGGGGCAGGCCCGACTCGAGCTTGGACGCGTCGGCGCCACCGCCACTGCCGCTGCACGAGCCCGTGGCCCTGCCGAGGGAGCGGCGGCGGCACCGGCAGTGCCCGAGGGCGCCCGGGGGCCCAGCGAGGCACGAGGGCGCGCCGCCTGGCGGATGCTCCGGGGACGGCCTGGTCACTCAGGAGGGGAAAAAACACACAGACACAATTAATCGGCGACTCCCAGAAAATATGGGAAAATATGGGAAGTGGGGGGGACGACAAGAACCCAGAAAATATGGGAGAATATGGGGGATATTTTTATTTGTGTGTATGTATTTGTGTGTCCCAGTTCCCCTTCAGTCACTGCTAACCAGCCTCGAACAGATCCCTACCCCTAAGATGGGCGAGCAAAAAGCGAGGACAATCTTAGGGATGGGCCCTCAGAAACTGAGGGAATCCTTACGATCGGCATCGAGGTGAGGTGGTGTCAAACATAGGGGTAGGGATGTGTTTCAAACTGGTAAACTGCACCGACCTTGCGAACGTGCTGCAGCGGACTTTTGCGTGGATCTGCCACTGAAGAACCCCGGCATGGCGGGCGAACAACGAAGTGAATCTCACGTGGGCTTCGGTCGGGTCTTCATTCCTGGTCTTCAAGATCCGCACGAAATTCACTTCGAAATCCGGAACGAAATTCTCCAGGACAGTCCAGGCCCATCCCACTGCTTTCCGACAGAAGTCCGCTCTGCGATGTTGGCGCCATGAGGCCTGTGCTCAGGGGAGGCTGCAGCACCGCTCAAGGATGTGCTGTGCACCGAACCTGCAGGGTGTGCCCCCTCAATTTTTCTGTGCACTTCAGCTTTGGCCTCGGCTTCAGCTGTGGGTGCAGTGCACCTTGAAGAGCCTTCGGACCAGCTCAGCCAAGTCGGTTGTCCGCTCGCACGGGTGCTCCCTCCCCGACCCATCGTGCTTCTCCTCAGGAGCTTCCGCTTGCTCATGCCCGACCAAATCTCGAAGAGGGTGCGCGGTAGGCACGGAGCTTCCGCACACAGTTTTTTTCCGCACACAGAGAAACAGAGAAACAGAGAGAGAGAGAGAGAGAGAAAAAAAAAACACACACAGTACCAAATGGCAAAAGCTAGTGGGGAAACCAACATGTATCGATACCACTAGTCCCCGACCTCTCCCAAAGGGCCCTCCTGACCACACCTCCGAGGCACATCCAGCCGTGGCGACGAGGTAAGGCAGCAGCATCGGTGCCTATTCCTTCTCTGGGCTACTTGGAATGCACGGTCGAGCGGGAAGCACCAGTTGGGATGCGTGGACGAGCGGCGCGTGACGCACATCGCTGGAGGCCTCACTGACGAGGCCTGAGCAGACGGGGGCCCAAGGTTGCAGCGCACCGCCGAGGCATCGACGATGCACCGTCGATGCATGGAAGAAACGGGGCTCGTCGCCGATGCGCCGGCGATGCGGCGAGCTCCTCCGAGCCCATCTGCTCTCGGGGCCGACGGGAAGGGGGGGATGGCAAAGGGGAGGTCAGCAAGTCAGCTCACGCAGCTGGTTTTCCCGGCGTCTCCCAGCGCCAGGAGCGACCATGTATCGAGGAGCGTGCACCGCGGCGGGGCCGAAACCAGCTGCAAGCAGCAAATTTCGCGCCCCCCCTCCCGCCATCCCCAGTTGACTCCGACTCAGTGCTCCGGCCCGAAGCAGGAGGCTTGAATTGGGCCCGCGCATTACTAGAAAGAGAAATAGTCAACGTGAATCGTCTTCCCGCTCACGGTCGTCTCGTGGATTTCGTTGTACGCGCGCTCTGCGCTCTCTGCTGTGGAATACTCGACGACGCCCATCCCTCGGGACTTCCCGTCTGGCGATGTAAAGAGAATGAAGTTCCTGATCTCCCCGACGTTCCCAAATTTCTCTTCAAGGAACTTCTCGGCGGTCTCGCAGGGAGCGTCCCTGAAGAAGACAGACGTGTTGGGATTCAAATCCTGGTCCTGGTCCCAGCCATCCTTCCTTTGGTGCCGCCGAAGCTGCTGCAGATGGAGAGGCTTCCCATCGATGACGACACCGTAGTTTATCGCCGCTTCGGCGGCGTTCGCTCCCTGGTAGCAGCACACGCCCATGCCCCGAGATGTTTTGCCCTTTTTGAAGATCGTGAGCGACTTGACCACCCCGAACTCGGCGAAGTGCTGCTGCACCGCGGCCCGCGCCATCTTCACAGGCGCGCCAGAGAAGAAGACGCGGGTGGACTTGTGCCACCCTTCGCGCTTGACCTCACACCACACGTTGACACTCTGTGTCGTGTACTTAACCTCCTTCGAGCCACCTTTGCCAGAGCCTTTGCCCGTATTCCCATCGCTCGCTGGGCCGCAATTCTGGCTGTCCTCCTCGCCGCCGTGATAGCTGTCTTCCCAACCACCTTCCCCCCGTCCGCCATTCCGTTTGCCCCCTTTATCCCGGCCGCCATTCTTCCGGCCACCGTGCTTCTGGCCGCTCTCCCAGCCGCTGTAGATGTCCGCTTTGCCGCCGATTGGACCACCTCCGTAGCCGCCCTCCCAGCCGCTCTTCCAGCCGCCGTCATATCCTCCCTTCCAACCGCTGTAGCTGTTAAAACCCGTGCCGCACTCCCAACCGCTATCCCATTCTTGGTAGCCTTCGCTCTGTTGTCTGGCATGGTCGAGGTAGCCCTTTCTGTCGATCTTAACCAGAACCGTGTGACCGCCCATCATAGAGCCTGAAAGGCGCTCGACCGCTTTGGTGGCTTCCCCCGCTGTCAGATACTGAGCCACGCCCATGCCCCGTGAGTGCCCTGGCGGATCAGCAAACAGCCGAAACTTAATAACTTTACCAACTCCCTGGAAGTGACTCCGCAAAAAGGCCTCGGAGGAATCGGGGGACGCACCAGCAAAAAAGATTGTCCTGCCGTCGCTGTTATCCCTGTCTCCTTTGTGTGCTCTGGTGGGCCGCCCGCCCTCATACCAGCCCTGGTCGGAATTCACCTTGCCACCTTCACTGCCCATGTGTTTGCCCTTGCCTGCACCATTGCCTGTACCTTTGTTGCCCGACGCCCTGTCCCTACCATTCTGATTGGCCGGCCAGGCCTCCGCGCTGCTCTTCCGCTCGTCGGACCCGGGCTCCTCGTCGCTATCCACGCGCGGGTCTTCCTGCAACATTAGTGCTCGCCCATCGACCTCGCGATTGTGAAGGGTGGTCATTGCCCTCCGTGCCTCCTCGTGCGAGGCATACTTGACCCGGCCCATGCCCATTGACTTTCCATCTTGGAAACGGAAAAGCGAGAAATCTTCAACTCTGCCAATCTCTTCAAAGATAGATTTGAGCACAGGCCCCGTAGTACTGAAGTTCGCCCCAGCGAAGAAGACATGGGTGAACTCATCATTCCCTTCACCCTCGTCTTGGTCAGCACCAGTCTTGGAAGGCGTGTGCTCTATCCCGAGCAGCAGGCAGATCTCCGAATCGGAGCAGTGCAACCCCTTCTCCGACGTGTCGTCCAGGGCGCTCAGGAATGCCCCCATGGTCATCCCCCTCGCCCGATCGAGGCAGTGGTCAGAGCAGAGCAGCTCGTACTCCTTGGTCCACTCTTTGTCGGAACCCTCGAAGCCTACGTATTCGACGAACATCCGCAGCTCGGACTTGTTGAGAAAACCGTCGCCGTCCTTTCGAGCAACACGCAAAAGGCATGAACCTGACCTCTCGGAGGCCTGGGCGAATTTCTCGGACCGGCGCTGGACCCCCTTCTCCCTGGCGCGCTCCGCGCTCCAGGGGCGTCTCCGGGGGCACCGCCAAGGGGGGCCCAGCGCTGATCCAAGAGATCTGCGCGGAATTCCGAAAATGCATGTTCATGCCGTGTTTGCTTTTCGAGTCCTTGTCGCACTTCCGAAAGAGGCGCTGCTTCAGGGCACCCCTGGTGTTCTCCAGTGGCCTGGTACGCCTCCCAGGATACGCGGGGGCCAGGCTGCGCCACGCCGACAGCTCCTTGCCAAGACTCATCAGACGCTGCACTCCTTGCGACGACCGACGCGACGCCGACGACCGACGACGACGACGACGATGCCGACGGCGACGACAACTGCGACGACGACGACGACGACGGCGGCAACGACGACGACGACGACGGCAACGACGACGACGAGGAGGCTGCACTCCTTGCGCAAGCTGGTCTGAGCACTAGAGACGGCATCGCTTGAGCCATAACGTCTTCCGAGGGTGGACGAGAAGTGCGAGGAGGACGGCCAGAGTGAATCCAAACCGCACCACCGAGGACACAACAAACCACCGCACCATGACGCAACAAACCAATTTTCTTCGTCTTCTTCTTCTTCTTCTTGAAACCCGCTCGTGCCCCATCGGAAATCCGCAAACGGCTCCAGCGGAGGCGTTCGCGTGCACTCAACCAGAAATGACTCTCGCACGTCTCATACCCCACAGGGAGCCCCAACAACGACCCCGATGGAGGAAAGAACATCTTTCACGGACGCTATGCTGCGCAAAATCCACTTACCCCCCTGCTGAAAGAACCCACCGCCTCCCCACTGAGAATTCCCCCCCTGCCCCTTCGCGCAGGCAGACGATGACCGACGCGCAGCCGACGACGACGACAGCGACAACGACAACCATGACGCTGACGTTGACAACGCTGACGACGACGACCACCACAACGACGACGACGACGACCACGACGACGACGACGACGACGAGGAGGACATGGACGACTTCAAGACGACGGCAACGACGACGACGATGACGACGACGACAACCGAAGACCGACCACAAACGACGTTGATGTTCATGATCGTCGGGCGGGTCAGGCGGGCGGGACATTGAAGCGAGCGGGCCGGTCGGGCAGAACCTTACATGTGAGGTTCGTTCTTTGGCCGGGCGAGGTTGGAGGAAAAGGAAAGCGACGACGACGAGGGCGAAAACGACGACGACGACGACGACGACAAGCGCGACATTGAAGCGGGTGGGCGGGCCGGGCATGAAATCGAAACCTCCCGCGTTGATGCGACAAGACTGGGGAACAACACTGAATAAACAAGGAAAACGAAAACGACGGCGCTGGATGTGATATTGAAGTGGGCGGATGAGCGGGGCATTGAATGTACGTCTCAGTCGTCGTTGAGGTAAGGTTTGTCGTCGTCGCCAGTGTCAGAGTCGTCGCCAGCGTCGTGGCAGTCGTCGTCGGGGTCAGCGATCTGGTTGTCGCCAGCGTCATCGTTGTCGTTAGTCGTTGTATTCGTCGTCGTTGACATGTTTGTGTAATTGTATTCGTCTTCATCGTCATCTGCGTAGTCGCCGCCGTCGTCGTCGCAAACGTCGTCATTGTGCTCGACGTCGCGATCATAGCGTTCGTTGTCGTTGCATTCGTCGTCGTTTCTCAACGCGCAAGGGGGGTGCCGTCTAAATCTCAGCCTCGGCTCTCGAACGGGGGGGGCTTGGGACGTTGGGTGGGTACCGATTAAGAACATGACCCCCCCCCGTTCAAACGCCCACAGAAGGTGATCGTTTTTTTTCATTGTTTTGCGGATCGGCGCGGGCCCTCGCCCCCCCCCCCGCCCCCTATGGAGTAGATCTTGGCTGTTTTTGGCGCCTGTTTCGAGCAGGCGGAGTCTCCCTTGTAGGACGCGCTGCTGCAAACAGTCGCAAGAAGCAGAGGTCCAGAGCCAGACCCCTCCCTCCCCCCCCCCTTCCGCCCAATGTCGAAATACCGAAACATAAAAAAAGGCTCACACGACAGAATTTCAAGTGGAGGCGTTCGCATGCACTCACCCGCACCCCGCTCGTGTCCCAACGGGAGCGCCTCTCGGAATGCGCGGGGGCCAGGCCGGACCACGCCGACAGCTCCCTGCCAGGACTCATCAGCCACTGCACTCCGTGCGACGACCGACGCGATGCCGACGACCGACACGACGCCGACGACGACGACGGCGTCAGCGACGACGACGACAACGTGTCCTAAGGGGAGCCCCAATCAAGGCCCCAGCGGGATGGGAGTACTCCCGCGCGCTCCTCCGAGCCCACTTCGGCAGACCCTCTCATGGGCCCTACAGTCGGGAAAATACTGGTGGTAGTGAGACTCTCGAGCGCATGTCAACATATCGGAAGCGCTTGCGCACGCACACGCACGCCCGCGCGCACGCGCTCATGATGTGGCTCGGGCCCGGTCTCGGTCTCAAGCTGGCGCTCGGGCTCGGGGTCGGGGACGGGCTCGGGCTTGCGCCGCTTGCGCGCGCACGCGTGCGCGAGCACGCGCGCGCGCACACGCACACGAAGGCGCACGAACGCGAACACGCGCACGCTCACGCTCACGCGCACGCGCATGCACGCGCTCACGCGCACGCGGCGCGCCCCCGTTTTGAATGCGAGGCGTGACTACAATGCTAGGACCCCCACCCCTGGGCCCCTCAGTACCCCGCTCTCGCCGGGCCCAAACGGGGTGCGGCTTCAACGCCCAGCTTCTAAATGGGAAAACGATTCCAGCAGAGGAGGAGGAGGAGGAGGAGGAGGAGGAGGAGGAGGAGGAGGAGGAGGAGGAGGAGGAGGAGGAGGAGGAGGAGGAGGAGGAGGAAGAAGGGTAGGATCAGCATCCCATTCTTACAGAGTACCAGCAGCCCACGGCGTGGGCTCCAGTGCCCAATTTCTGACCAGAGAAAATCGCTTTAGCGGATTATGAAGTCAAGAAGGGTGGGCTCCCGCACAAAATTGTTACGAGGGGCAATGGCTCCAGCAGCCCACGGCGTTGGCTCCAGCAGCTAATTTTGACGAGGAGATGGCGCTCCAACATATTATGCCGACCGGACAAGCTGGCTGTCGTCTGAAAAGGCACCTAAGGCGCCCGCGCCGCAGCCACGAGTCATCTTACAGTCCGTAAAAATTCCACCCACAGAGATATCACCTAACTGGCCAGTCAGGTGAATATGGGAGGTGTTTTGGGGAGCGCATGCCGACATATCGGACGCGCGAGCACACGCACACGCACAACGCACGCGCGCGCGCGAGCACGCGCACTAGCACGGGCTAGTGACGAGGCTCGGGCCTGGTGTCGGTGTCAAGCGGGCGCTCGGGCACGGGGTCGGACTATTATCATTATTACTACTACTACTACTACTACTACTACCACTACTACTACTACTACTACTACTACGACGACGACGACGACGACGACGACGACGACGACGACGACGACGACGACGACGACGACTACGACTACTACTACTACTACTACTACTACTACTACTACTACTACCACTACTACTACTAGGACTACACGACGACGACGACGACGACGACGACGACGACGACGACGACGACGACTACTACTACTACTACTACTACTACTACTTCTACTTCGACTACTACTACTACTACTACTACTACTGCTACTACTACTACTACTACTACTACTACTACTACTACTACTACTACTCATAATACTACTACTACTACTACTGCTACTACTACTACTACTACTACGACGACTACTATTATTACTACTACTACTACTACTACGACGACGACGACGACGACGACCACCACTATTTCTACTACTACTACTACTACTACTACTACTACTACTACTACGACTA